AGATAATAGATTTTTGAGAATTAAATTTGATTCGGACATTTTCTTGTCCCTCAGGCGTAGGCAATCTTCATTTTCCAGACATTTATCAACACAAAGCTCTTCCTGGTCAATCCCCACTTTAAGTGGTGGGTGCGTGGAATGCGCTGGTGGTGGTAGTGGAGTCGGATACATTAGGGACATTTAAGCAACTCTTGGAGGGGCACATGGCTTTCATTGGCAGGGGAATTGAGTTTAAGAGCCGCGAGGTTATACTGTAGCTCTATAAAATCCTAGTTAAACCACACTTGGAATATTGTGCTCAGTTCTGGTCGCCTCATTATAGGAAGGATGTGGAAGCTTTAGAGAGGGTGCAGAGGAGATTTACCAGGATGCTGCCTGAACTGGAGGACAGGTCCTATGAGGAAAGGTTGAGGGAGCTAGGGCTTTTCTCATTGGAGCGAAGAAGGATGAGAGGTGACTTGATAGAGGTGTACAAGATGATGAGAGGCATAGATAGACTAGATAGCCAGAGGCTTTTTTCCCAGGGCGGAAATGACTATTACAAGGGGACATAATTTTAAGGTGATTGGAGGAAGGTATAGGGGAGATGTCAGAGGTAGGTTCTTTACACAGAGAGTGGTGGGCGTGTGGAATGCGCTGCCAGCAGTGGTGGTAGAGTCAGATACATTAGGGACACTTAAGTGACTCGTGGATAGTCATAGGGATAATAGTAACATGCAGGGTATGCAGGGTAGTTTGATCTTAAGAGTAGGATAATAGGTCAGCACAACATTGTGGGCTGAAGGGCCTGTACTGTGCTGTACTGTTCTATGTTCTTAACATAGAGTCACCATCACTCCTGTGGCAGCAATGAGACCACACAAAGAAGCTAATAATTACAGAAAGAACTTGAATATCTCCAGTGTACTTCACAATGTCAGCACTTCCCAGGGTTTGGAGAAGATGGAAAGTTTTGAGTGGTGTCTCTAGTGTAACTTTGGCCTCAGAAATGTAAGACTTTTCCCTTCTTAAAACCAAGTGGGCTAAGGTCAATGCTTTTTATTACTTAATCCAGCATCACTTGCCATTTGTGAGTGAAATAGCCGCACAGAGGCTGGGTCCTGTCACAAAATCGGCCTTTAAGTTACGTGTGCACAGTACCCCAGCTGTAGCCAGCCAGCTCAGAGTCAATCCTCAACTGAGGAGATTCTAATCTCCTGGTTATATTGGTCAGCCAGGGCTTTCCTGATTGGCCCAGGTTAACAACCCCAATCAAGAACCTCGTAGTTAATGTGGTCCACCCGATCCCAATCACTACAGTCAGAGACAATTCTGAACTTCTACTATCTTTTGAGGGCATTTGTTTTTCTCCATCTACCTAACCAGTTCCCCTAACATCTTGGAAATCTCTTCACACTCAGCCTTGTACATTCTGGGGAGTACAATCCTGGTTTGTTCAATTATCCTTGTAATTTAACCTTTGGTGTCCAGGTACCATTCTGATCAACCTACACTGCACTCCCTCTGCTATCTCTTTCCTGGGTTCAGCAATATTCACAGTGACTCTGAATGCAATCTTAACAGGGTCTTGTGTAGCTCAAACGTGACTTCTACTCCCCTTGTGTTCTTATTCTCAAGCAACAAACACCATTCCAATAACTTTTCTGATTATCGCCTGCATCTGTTCATGATATTTTGGTGATATGTGTCCATGAATCACCAAAGTCTCTAATTTTTTAGCATTTAAAAAGTATCCAGTTCCATCCTTTTAGTTGCAAATTTGATGAGCTCACATTTGCCTGGATTGAAATCCATTTGCCCCAGTTTTGCCCATTCACTTAACCTCAATATCTCTGTAATTTTTAAGCTTCCATTTAGACTGCTTACAGTGTTGCTCATCCTGGTGTCATCAGCAAATTTGCCCTGCGTCTCTCTATCCCGCCATCTAAATTGTTAATAAATAAATTGAATAGTTGATTTCCTGATACAGATCCCTGTGGGACATCAATGATCATATCCTGGCATTACCACACCCTGCTCTCTAACTCCCGACACTCTGCTAATTTCCTGACCAGTTCAATAACATTCCTTTATTCCACGAGCTACAACTTTAGTTAACCGTCTCTTTATGAAGGACTTTCTAAAATGCCTTTCATAACTCCATAGCGTACGCATACCCCTGTCCTCAACTTCAATCACCTCTTCAAATGAATTCAATCACTTTCACCCCTAATGCAGCTTTTACAAACTCACTGATCAGCTGAAAATCTTCAAGGTCTTCATTCATCTTATCCTTAATTATTATGCCTGGTAAACTTCCTGACAATGGAAGTTTGGTTAAATTATCTACAATTCTCTAATTTCCCTCTATCATATTTTTTTAAAATTGTAGAGTGAAATGTGCAATTTTCCTAAAGAAATGAGTTTGAAATGGAGAGAACTTTGGAAGATTATAGTTAAGGATTCTGCAATGCTCTCACTGACTTCCTTTAAAACCCACGATGGGAACCATTTAATGTTGGGCCTTTTTGTTCATTCGTATCATCATGTTCTTCATTCCTGTGCCCGACTGACTTTTCAGGCAAAGGCAAAAAAAAATTGCCTGGTCCACTTTGAAGAAGAACAGGAGGGGTCTCTCAATGTCCTAGCCAATATTTATCCCTCATCACAAATTGCCAAAACAAATTAATGAGCCAATCAGCACATTGTGGTTCGTTGGGCTCTTGCTGTGCAGAAATTGGTCATCGAAGATTCATAGAGTCAAAAAGCAGAGAAACAGACCCTTCAGTTCAATTCATCTGCGCTGACCAGACATCCAAATCTGACCTCATCCCATTTTCCAGCATTTGGCCCACATCCCTCTAAACCCTCCCAATTCATATACCCATCCAGTTACATTTTAAATGTGGTAATTGTAGATCGTTCCATACACATACCTCCCACTGTGTGAGAAAGTTGCCCCTCAGGTCCCTTTTAAATCTTTCCCCTCACCTTAAACCCATGCCCTCTAGTTTTGGACTCCCCCACCCTAGGAAAAGACATTCACCCTATCCATGCCCCCCATGATTTTATAAACCTCTACAAGGTCACCCCTCAGCCTCTGACACTCCAGGGGGAAAAAAGCCTTAGTCTATTCAGCCTCTCCTAATGCTCAAACCCTCCAGTCCTGGCAACATCCCTGTAAATCTTTTCTGCATCCTGTCATGTTTAACAACATCCTTCCTGTAGAAGGTGACCAGAATTCATAGAAACCCCACAGTGTGGAAGCAGACCCTTTGGCCCAACAAGTCCACACCAACCCTTGGAGCATCCCACCCAGACCCATCCCCCTAATCTACACATCCCTGAACACTGTGGGCAATTTCCCATGGCCAATCCACCTAGCCTGCACAACTTTGGACTGTGGGAGGAAACCAGAGCACCCAGAGGAAACCCACGCAGACACGGGGCGAACATGCAAACGCCACACAGAAAGTTGCCCAAGGGTGGAATCGAACCCAGGTCCCAAGTGCTGTGAGGCAGCAGTGCTAACCACTGAGCCACTGTGCCACCCCATTTATGCTGTATTCTAAAAGTGGCCTCACCAATGTCCTTTACAGCTGCTACATGACATCCCATCATGTTTGTCTTTGTAACAGCAATGACCAAACCATAACCCATCAGCCATCATGTAGTGTGGTTAATCTTAAGGATGTTACAGATGCACTGCCTAAAGAAAAGCTGCATCCCTTTAGCTCTCTTCAAATTGATGCCATTTTTAAGTCATGATCCTAATGAATGGCTGGACAGCTTGAGGGGCCAAGTGGCCTACTCCTGTTCCTATTTCTTATGGTCTTATGGTGATTTGACTTTTTCCTCCAATCCTTGGCCACGATGAAGCATGGATCCAATTTGGGTATTTCCTCATTACCAGGAATAGACATTACACAGCTCAAATATCTTTTGCTTTGAATGGATGTGACATAACCCCACCGCTAATGTACAATTCAGCTGCTGCTTTTCCAATGAGCTTTCAACCCAAAACTTCCAACAAGCAACGTGATCTTTGTTGAAGACTGGAATTTATTTGGCAAAGGATATTAGCTGACAAAGGGCCAGTCTGCTAGGTAAAGCACTTACATCTACATGTGGGCTCCCAGACAGCAGGTATTGTTCACACTCACAACATCTGTTCTGTGGTTTTCCAGAAAGACACTGTCTTGCATGTTTTCTAAGGACTTCCTTTTCACCTTCCAGTGAAAGGCACTGGGCAGACAGCTCTTTGATATCCTGCCATCTGTGTTGACCCCACCTTCCCAAGGTCAGATTGCACAGCTCCAACTAATGGTTACAGCCTGGACAGAGTTATCAAATAACAGATACCTGGGAGTGAGTTACAGACTGGAACCTAATCGAGGGGTTCAGGGTGGTCTATATACAGAATAACAGATACCC